GAAAGAGCAGTGCTCTTGTTCAAATATCATATAGTCCTGATAAGTGAGAGACGAATTCTGCAGTCTCCAACCAGCTTTAGTGGGAATGTTCGATGTAAGTACCACAGAATTTGAGTCCCTGTTTTTGTGTTGGGGTTTTTTTTTTTTTTTTCATTTCAGGATCCTCTGGGAAAAATAATATTTTACATTTTACAGAACAGTATTTTATATAACGGTTGAGAAAAGCTACTGCCATAGTGCTGACTTCCAGAATCATTAGCTATTAAAAACATATTTATATTCATGTAAATAAAAATGCCAGTTTATGCAAAAGCAAAAATATCCTATTTTAATAATAGCTTTTATCTATCTAGACTTTTGTTATTAAGCTAACTGCAAAAGACCAAGCTGCTCGCCTGTGTTGGGCAACTTTAACCACTTTCCAGCAAAAATACTGTAGGTCTTTGCTTGACTGCTGTGCAGTGACTCCAGGGATTTCAGTGGGAGATACTGATCTCTGCAATGTTTCTGTGTGCTTTTGCCAATAAAAGGCATTTACAGTATGTCAAAAAAATCAGTGATTACTGCTCTGCAGTTTTAATTCCCTCTTTTTGCACACTAAAAGGACTTATTCTGATGGTTTCCTGTGCCTGCATATGTATCTCTGCGTACTGAAGTAAAGCTTTCTTGCCTGTACGTGAGGCCCTGGTAGGCACTTTGGCATAATGCAGTTTTTGGCAGTGTAAAATTCTGTTGGAACGTAATGGAACAGGTTCTGGGAGCTGTTCTGGTCAGAAAGCCACCCTGAAAGCCTAGGGTTCCTCTTCCTGAACCGCAGTGCGTCTGTGGCACAGAGATTTCGTGATGGCCATATGCGATGGTACCTGCTGTCCCTCCCAGCGGAAGGAGAAATGCCCGGGGTGCCGTTCGACTATGACAGGCAGAACTGCCCCTTGCCTGGCTGCTGTAATAACTTAAAACCCCACAGAAAACTTCTTTGCATAGACAAACACAGAGACAAAACTTGCAGTTTCTCTCCCTGTGCGTTTCCCCTTTTGCAGGGAACGCAGAGCTGTGCAGAGCAGAACAGCTGGGAGGGCACGCCGCTTCCCCCGGCGCTGCGGCAGCCCTCGCAGGGAGCTCCTCTCCTGTCCCAAATATGCCCCGTTACCCCCACGCAGGCAGCGGGGCGATTGGTGCTGCGGGGAGCTGCGGCTCTCGTCCCGGGCAGGTCTTTGCAGGGCTGCGGTCCTGCCGCCCCCGTGCAGCCTGCAGGCAGCGCCTCTCTCCCGGCTCCTTCGCCTCAGTGGAGCTGCTGTAGGAGCAAGGTATTGCGGTGTATGAGTACTGCCAAGCCTGGGCTATGGGAACCGGTTAAAAATACTACCTGAGAAGGCAGCAGTTGCTCAGTTCCACTGAGAGCAAACATTCCAGCTACGTATACATCCCAGCCTGCAAGCTACAATGTAAGGAGAAAGATTTTTTGCTCACACATTGGTAGTCCCTAGCAACACCGCTTGATAAAGCCCTGCTCTGGTTTGTGAGGTCCAGGCTGAATTTTCTGTTCAGGGTTCCTGACCCTAGAAGCCTGGCATTTGTTTACCAGGAGGAAAGGAAAAAAAAAAAAAAAAGCACAGTTAACGTCTTTAAAGCTCGGCTGCTTGGTTGGCAAACAAATGCTGGGAAGTGCAGCTCTGCTGAGGCTGTGCAAAAAGAAAGCGATTGTTATTCATTAAGCAGATGACAGCAACGGGAGTAAAGGGGATAAAACTCGAAATCTGAAACCACCTGCTTTAATTTTAGCCTTAATTGAAGCGACTGCCCATGATGTTGCCGATGCACGTATCAGATTTGCACGCCATGCCCTGCTCTCTCTGATTTCTGTGGCAGCAAGCTCCAGCCCACTGTCTGCTCTGGTTCAGGAGGGGATGAATCTCCTGTTTGATTGCAGGTTATAACGGGCATTTTAGAATCTGTTTGTTTCCTTCCAGGAGCAAAATGCAATAGCAGGCTGGCTCGCTGATAGACAGATGCTTTAGTCATTAGTGAGGTTTCTGTGACTACAACACTATGTCCTAGTATGGGTGCACTCATCTCTTTTGTTCCTGGTTCGAGGCACTGATGCTTTTCTTGCTCTTTTTATTTTTTTCTTTCTCTCTCTCTCTCTCTCTCTGTCTCTCACTCATTCTCTCTCACTTTGATCTTGCTGAAATGGGGGAAAAAATCAGATCCAAACCTTCAGCATATTTAACCAAATCATCTTGTAGGCTGGGAATAAGCTGTGGCGGAGGATAGCAGCAGGGGGCTGCAGAACAGTTGCTGTACTGCTCGCTTTCCCTCGCTACAAAACAGCAGTAGTCGTCGAGGAGTGCTGGGGTTGGTCTGCAGCTAAATAAGCATTTGGGGCCTCAGCATTCGGTGGGCTGAGGGGTTTTGCTGTGAATAGATGGCCTGTGCAAAGCTCTCTTCTTGTGCTTTCTAATGCAGGGAGTCTGGTAAAGCAGGTAAAAAGGGAAGAGAACTTTCCCAACAGCAGAGAGGGTCTGATCCTTCACTAAACTCGCTGGAACTGTGGCTATCACTGTCGATTCATATTCAACTTGGTATAGTGCTAGATGCGTAAGCCTGAGAGATGGGGAGCTCACAGCAAAATCAGTGAAGGCAGGAAGAGTCTTGACCTCAGCTGCACAATGAAATGTTAGAGTGGGAGGATTAATGGCCTATCCTTGAAATGTTTAGCACAGATTCATACTGTGTGTGTTTGTATGTATATGCTAGCTTTCAAGAGCTGTGAAAAGCTCTTTTATGGTTTCCTGCGATGATACATAGTCAGTGGGGATACTCAAATGAATAAAGAAATATGCCACGAAATGGGGAGCAGGTGAGCTGTGTGACGGATGCGTGCACTGTCCTTCATCCTGCGGGGTGCTACTCCTTAGCTAACAATATGAGGTGCCGGGAATATGACATGAGGCTTAGCTGTGCTTGGGACGGTGCGGAGGAGAAGATCCTCGCTGCTTGGAGCGTAAGACACTGTGATGTAAGATCCCTTCTGGTCAGCATTCCCCACTAAGCGTAGCTTCATTCTTCTGCATTACTGATCGTTTACAGCTGTTAGCTTTATTTCATGAGGAATTTTTAAAGGGCTGCGGCAGTAAGCAGGCTGCACTGCTCTATAAGGCAGCCCAGGGTTCCCGCTCGAGTCCTAGGAGGCAGCACTCATCTCACTTGGTGGGGTCTGCGTTTTTCTGGGGTGCAGTCTCTTACTGGACACCTTCCTTGTCATAAGAAAAAGGAAGAGGACTATATAATCCAGACAGCTGAGGTGTCTTACCCAGGTACTTGGTAAATTGCCAGCATAGTCTTTGTTCATCCAAAGCTTAGATACTTGCAGCTTTAAGCACCCATAAAATGTGTTGCAGAGTGCAAGATGTTATCTCCCTGACTTGCAACCAGTCTGTAAAGTGAGTTTCAGAGTTTTTCCTCCTCACAGTCTTTTTTTCACCATTACAGTCTTAATACCTGTATTTAAATGATGAATTGTTGAGAAAATTACAAGATTATGAGCACTTACTTAAAAAGACATAGTGAATATCAGGAAATAGTCCCGGAATAGCATTTTTGGCAGTCTTTCCTCTGTATATTCTTGGTGATGAAGAGGACCCCCAGAACAGCCTGTCAGCCTGTTTCTGTGTCTTCTTAACACACAGCTGAACTAAAACTGAGTGCTAGTTTCCATCTTCAGCTGGCGTATATTCTTCTTTTATGTACATTTACATAATATGTTCTTTTATTTATCAGTTCATTAGCTTTAATAAATAAAGCCAGTTGTATGATTGCTATACCCACAAAGTGTATGACACCTCTGACCATTACGGATTCTCCCCCGCAGCACCTGTGCTGTGCAGTGAGGGCATGCTGGCCTGTGGTCCAGTGACCCAAGGCCCCTTCATCCACATGCCGCACTGGTGGGGTGGCAGCTCCTGTGCTCCTGGGTCTTGCCGCAGAAAGGAGCCAGCGCATGGTTTGGAAGTGCTCTTACATCTCCCAATTTACATATAATTTCAGAGAATACTCCACTTAGGCCTAAAAGATCTGCATCCATTTCTTTTGCAGAAAGGAACCCTGTGAAACTGCAGCTGCAAGCGTGGCTCTGGTTTCAGGGTCTCCAACGGGTGGCCTTTCAGCAAGACCAAAAAGACTTAAATTCCTGTCAAAGCTCTTGCTCCTTTGAGAACTATGTAGCCAGCAGATGCTTTACAGAGAAAGAGAACATCCTTTGAAAACAATCTGTTGTTTATTAATCGACAAGAATTCAGTGTTTGGGGTTCTTAGGCAGGAAAAGAAAAGGAGAGCGTACGTGGGCCTGGCGTCCTGAGACAAACCATGCAGGGTTCTCTCTCCTTTCTGCACTGAAGAGCCGATTCCTTGCAACACTGATATGTCAGCGCTTTGTTTTCAGTTCCAGTGACATTCGGCAGGATTCAGTATGCTTATGCTGAGACTGGGTTGCCTAAGACCCAGGTGGCAAGCCATTCACCTGCTCTCTTGTGTTGCCCCATAGATATCTAGGTTCATTGGGCTCTCTCTGCCTCGCCTGCGAGATCCATGGGCATTTACTTTTAGGCGCCTATGTAGGCTCAGAAGTGCCATTTCTGAGAAGACGGGCGCTTAGATCTTATTTAAAGCTGTGCTATGCTTCTGGTTTTTGTGAGGTAGGCACCTGAACTCTGTTTATTCTCTTGGAGAAGACTGAAGAATTAGATATGGCCTAATAGACATGAGCCAGACCTTATGCCTCGCAATCAGTGCTCTTGCTCAGAAACTGGGAGACTGGATGCTAGGTCCTGTTCAGTCTGAAGGATTTGTCCCAATCCCTTCTGTAGCTCAGAAGAGCACCCTAACCTTCCCTGCCCCAAGCAGCTGTGCAGCCTTGTCTTAAGAGATGTGAGGCCAGGAGAGAAGAGGAAAGAAGAGGGGGCATGCACAGAGGAACGATGACCGGAGAGCAGTAGTTAGGACACTTCAGGGGAAGGAGAGTCCCAGACCTTGCTCCCTGGAGCGAGTTACACATTTTACACTAGACGTCACCGTCACCATGAGGAAGCACCAACATGAAATTGACTGGTTTTCCCTCCGCAGATTCTCAGAGATGCCATCTGTTCCCCAGTTATTGTATAAGTTATTTAGGTGGCCATGTGAGACAGACAGGATTGCCCTCTGGGCTTGGATGCTTTTGATGAGCCAGTATCTCAATTTAGCACTAAAATTGAACAGACTTGATTTTATTGCCTTTATGTATTATAATGCTCATGAAGTCATTAAAACTTCATGTCTGCTCATTGATTCTTCTGTTGTCTCACTGAAATCTCTGTCATATGCTGACATTTGTAAATACTTTGTATGCTGACATGCCTGACTGACTGAACAATCCACAGCCGTCTTCCCTGCCCCATCCCAGAGAAGGTACAAAACCCTTTTGTATATCACAAATTCAAGCGTATTAGGGGAAGTCAGATGATTCGTATTTTTCATAAAGATGATATTGAAATTGTCTACTTGAACATGAGGTTTCTCGCTGGTACAAATGTGGGTATGAGATACGTGTGCTAAAGGTTGGGTTTGGGAACTCTAATAGGAGGGGCTAGTGGTATAATGTAGTCCGGCAGGGCAGTGTGATGGACGCTTGCTATGTGACCTGTCTCTTGTACCGTACCTGCTCTGTGCCAGAATGGCACTGGTTTGCTCTGGGAGGTTGTCAACAGGTTGCTACAACAATGCTGTTTGAATGCTCTGGCCCTTCTCTCTGAGCGTAGGTCCATGCTCGCTGAGGTACATGCAAGTGCTCACACATTGTAAAATTGAAGGCAGCCACGAACAGCACAGAACGGGACCGCCCAAGGATGGGAGATGCCTGCACTAGCTTTTCCAGGGCTTGCTAGTGGTTCTCGGCTCTCCTGGTGGCCACGAGGGACCTGACATTTAGTAACAATTCTTTGTCCATCTCTGTCTCACAGATTGATGAACTCCCGGAGGGAGCTGTGAAGCCTCCAGCAAATAAATACCCCATCTTCTTTTTTGGGACCCATGAAACGTAAGTGAATGAACATGAACTTTCCTTTGAAAATATCCTCTTCCACTTCAGCCTAAGTCAGCTCCAGTGGCTGTATCGGAACAAATCCTGACTGAAACCATTGGGAGACTAGTGTTAGATCCTCTGAGCCCAGCTCATTTATATTGGCACAGGGGAGTGGAACCTGCAAGAAGGTGCGAATGCTCCTGCCGGGATGGTGTGCCTTAGTCTGAGCATAAATAATAACCAGTTTCTATGTTTCCTGTAAATAAAAATGTCGGCAAAAATTTAGTAAAGGGTCATCTGAATGCAGGTGCAGGGGCAAAATAAATTTTACTTGGAGCAACACGGTAGCAGACGTCAGCGTGTTGAATTCAGACATCTTTGGGTTCTTGTTGTGTGACAACTTGCTTGGTAGTTGGCACAATGAAAGGGAGCAGAGCTGACCACAGAGTCTCACACAGTCCTCAGATAGCTTTAAAATACACGTATTCTTTTGAGATTTGTGCTGGGGATTTGGTAGGACAGAGCTCTCAGAAGTGATGAAAGAGCTGGGCTAGCAGAAAGGGTAAGTTAGGTCTCACAGTAATTGCTAGGAAGCACAGAGGTTCAAAATTATAATGTAATTGGTCTCTGCCTTTGTTAAACTGTGCACTGAGCTAGTTAAAAAAAAAATCACAATTTCCATTTTGTATGAAATGTTTACTTTTCAAAGCCTTTCTTTTCCCAGTTGTGGGGAACGTGTTTTGTGGAATTCCTTAAAAAATGGAAGAATGAAATTCTGATGATATTTTACAATCAGTTTTAGAATTTCACAGTTTCACTCAAAATTTCTTTTTTGTTTTCAAATATTAATATTATTCCAGAACATAATGTGGTCCATAGCTTATAAATTATTTTTCATTTTTAAACGCTTTAAGGGCAGTTTGTACTTAATAAAGATGAGAATAGCTTTTTTCCTAGTTAAAATATTTTCTCCTATTGCTGTAATGAAACAATTTGGTATTTCAATATGTTGTGATCTACTACTGCTGTCATGAAATAATCTAAAAAGAATAAAGATAATCCTAAAATAAACTTATGATGCTTCAAAATTGGAAAGCAAAATGTGATTTTATTTTTTCTGAATGAAAACCTTTTTTTGAGAAACATTTTAAGAAAAAAATTCTGACCAATTTTATTCTGAAATAAATGAATACCAAACTGCTAACCTCTTTTGTTCTGGATTTTATGAGCCTGTGATCCGACTGTAACATCTGAAACAGGAAAACATTTTGTAGTTACTACCTTAATAATTTACAAAGCATAACTATTAAAAAAGAACCGTAGATTGCAGCTCATTAGTTTTATAGCAGAGCAGTGAAAACTGTTGTACCCTCCCAGTGACAATGAACACATTTCTTTAAACAATTTTACAATTAAAATACAATTTTTCAGTATTTACTATACATAAAAGGCTGTAGAAATGTTTCCATATATTATTGTTTAGCTAAATTAAGGTGGATCATTGTGAGTTTCACAAGGTTTTCCTTTGTTATTTGTATTGTAAATGTTTGTATGTATTTTTGGCGACAAGGAGACACCTCTCAGTATTAGCAAAAGTACAGATAAGTTAATTTATTCAGATCCTTTGCTCTGTTGTTGCCTTTAATATTAACAAGACATCTGTATTTTTGGAGATCACAGTTCAGATTTTAAGCAGAAATGCATTCTTGGCCTTGCATGTTATATAATTAGGGTATTTCTCAATGAGACAACTGAGTTTGGATTCTGTCTCGCGCGTAGTTAAGAGGAAGGAAGTTCTTTCCCCAGAGACTTGTCATCTAAGGCCTTTATCCACGAGTTGGCTCTTGCTGGCAAATTTCTTGGCCAATGGGATGATTTAAGTGAATGAAACTTTGTGCATTCATAAATGCTAGGAGGAATCAGGGCATAAATTAATCTGAAATTATGTTTACAGCAAGGAAGAAATATGATCCTGTGATTAAGTTATTAGATAAGGTATTAGAAACTCAAGAGAGCTGAGTTTTCCTCTATACTCTGCTGTCAGTTTGAGTTTGACCTTGGGCAAATCTCTGTGCCTCAGAAGCCCGTCTGTAAAAGAGGAGAGCTCACCTACCTCATGAAGAAGTTATGAAAATAAATGCATTGTAAATGATGGAGTTCCAAGATCCTGTGACAACAGAGACCACAGAGTTAACTGTAATTGCAAAGATATCGGGAAAGTAGGACAGTGATTACAGTGAAGGACACTGACCTGCTCAGGTCCGGTCGTACGTTTGGGGACAGAGTCTTCCATGTGAGAATGAACTATTTTTTCATCTTCACTATTTTTAATGTATATTATGTCTAGCCGTCCCAGTACCGTGATGCAGAGCACAGTAAACATACCAGATATAGATAGCCAATGAAAGAGAAATGATATTTTCTTTGATTTTATGCATGAAGTTAGCATTTTACTGTAAAATATGTAGAAGTAGGATAAATCACTGCTTTTTTTTTTTTTTTCTTTTTCCTTGAACTGAGATGCCTGCATCTGAAATTATTTGGCCTAGCGCAGAGCTGACTTATGCAGCAGCAGAGCTCAAAATCCCTCCTTTGCTGGGCTGTCTCAAAAACTGTTTGGCCACAAGCGCCCTGTGTGTCTCATTGTTTCCTTGTATTACTCATCTGCCTATATTCACCCATTGTTTCTTGTCTTATATGAAATTATAAGATTTTTGGGAAAGAGAACATCTTTGCTGTGTTTACGCAGGATCTAACATGCGAGGAGCTTATTCAATGAAAGAAGCTCCCAGGCTTACTGGCAGTATAGGTAATAGTAAATGTCACTGCTTTTTCTGTCCAGCAATATAAGGGATAAGTTTTGGCTCGTGGGTTCTAGGCATTCCTTGCATGCTTTAACTTTTCATATGGTATTATTTTCAGGCCTTTCTGGATTTGTAACACATAGGATTGGAAGTTTGGTCCCTTGCTATCGCAGGCAATTACGTCATATAATCCCTTTCATAAACTGTTCAAGTGCCAGTTCCCAGCAGTAGTTAATATAATAAATGAGACTCGTTTTAGTTGTTTCTAGAGAGACTCAGCATGATTTTGCAACATCAAACATTGGGATGGTGAGCCAATCCATAAAATCAGACTCACAGCAGTAACTCAAAGCCAGCATGTAAAAAAAATGTGATGGAATGAGCAGAGGAATAGGGAAAACATTTGCACTGTTAATGTTTTTAATTTGAAGAGAAGGAATTAAAGTCCTTTTTTGAATGCTACCTTTGTTAAAATGCAGTGCGTTCCTGGGGCCCAAAGACCTTTTCCCATATAAAGAATATAAAGATAAGTTTGGGAAGTCGAACAAACGAAAAGGATTTAATGAAGGCCTGTGGGAAATAGAAAACAACCCTGGAGTAAAGTTTACTGGATATCAGGTAAATGAGTTTCCCTTCTATTCCTCCTTATCTTTCTTATTTTCCTCTTAGAAAACTTCTTATCTACGTACACATCGGATGAGTAGTGATGAAAGGTCCTGGTTTTGGTGAAGAGTTAGCTAGAAAAGTTGCACAGCTGGTGACTGGAGTGTAATCGTATATTATAAAGAGAACTGTGGTCTTGCAATCTGTGACAACTTGAACTTTAATCATACTGCAGAGCTCTTTGCTTTCTGTGATATTCTGGGGTAGTGAAGTGGAAAATGCTGCTGCAGAATTAGCTGAATTAAAAATGGAAGGTTTTATTTACTCCAGTATAAACATGAATAATTTGTGACTTCTTCTTTCTGTTGTTTATTTTTACATCAAATTCAGTATATTTTACACAGACCTTAAGGTCACTGCACTTTTGATTTTTATATCGGTAATGTATAACACATAGGACACCACTGCTGAAGTTGCGAGGGGTGAGAAGGTGGAGGTTTGAGCTGCTGGTAAGTGATAGTAGCTGCTGTACAACAGCTCTCCCTGTTGGATGTCAGGAACAAAAATTCAGTCAAGCTGAGGAGAAGAAGAGTAGTCGGTGGGCAGCGTAAAGCCAAAGAACTTTTCTCATTAAAAAAATATGGTCCTTTGAAGGCAGAGATCACCTCCACAAGGTGGAGAACACCTATTACATTATTCGCACAAAACCGTACGAACCAGTGATATGGACCACCTGCAGACAAGCTGCTGCTCCTCTCTACTCCTGTTTCGTATTTTCAGCTCTGCAGATGTTTTGCGTACACTTGGGGATTTAAAAAAAAAAAATCTAGTGAATAAGCTGTGGGAGATGGACTGTCAGAGAGCTTTTGGCCTTCTGGTCGGTATTTGCTTTTTCCTGTCACAGAGATCGTGCCCTTTTGGGGGTTTTGTAACAGCCATCTTTTTCTCCTGAGCTAAGTCTCTCCTGTATGCAGCTTAAAGTTTCCATAGTTTTGCCCAAATTAGACCATGCCAGGTCTCTCCACTGAACAATCCTTAGTTCTCCAACAAACGCACTTTTGTTATCGCATCTTCTGTTTCTGTGTAAATCCTTGAGAACGTGCTATCCCAGAATCTGCATCTGATAACTCCTTTCAAGTGGTGACTGCGAAAATTGCCTCTGCAGCCCTTCTTGATAATTGTAAGAGTAACCTGAGCATTTCCTAACTAAAATGATTAAAGTGTAAGCTATCTGTTATCAGTATTTTTGAGTTCAATACAGAACAAAACTAATTAATAGATTACAGTGATACTGTTTTTATTGTTGTTGTTGTTTTGTTTTAAAGGCAATTCAGCAACAGAGCTCATCAGAAACTGAGGGAGAAGGAGGAAATACAGCAGATGCCAGCAGTGAGGAGGAAGGTGATCGGGTAGAAGAGGATGGAAAAGGCAAAAGAAAGAATGAAAAAGCAGGCTCAAAACGAAAAAAATCCTACACTTCAAAGGTTATCTCTAAGCTTTTCCACTGTTACTCATGTGCAGTTATAATCAGGACACCGTGCAGCTCATGGCAACCTGTCTTTTCTTCTCTCGCATTTTGATTCCAATGCCATAATGATGATGTTCAAACAAGCCCAGGGAAATGATCTGGCTATGGTAGACAGCAGTTGAAATACTGTGCCTGGTTCTGGTGCCCACACTTTGAGGAGGTAGAAATATAGGAAGCAGTTCAGAGGGGCTGGAAGGCAAATCTTTGCAAAGTTAGCCAGAGGAGCTCACATTTTGGAGGAAAGAATTGAGAGGTTTGATCATTTGATATAGGTATTTCCACTTGAAAAGCAAGAAGAATGCTTTAGGAGCATGCCTTCTGGGAGACACGAGTTCAAGTTTGTTGGCGGTCTAGGAGAACTCTAGCTTTCCTCTCCCATCTCCAGTGTGAGTGCTCCAGGCACCGTGGTAAAAGATACGGGAGGGTCGTGTGTGTTCAGATGCTCTTGTTGTAGCTGTATGTAAAATACTTCAATATTGTATCCAGAGAGGAAGGAAGGAAGAACTAATTCTGTAAGCAGGGAGTGGGATACCCAATTAGGAGACAAAGCACCTGTATTCTAGTGCCTACCTGCCAGTGAATATTGAAGTAACAACAAAAATGAGAAAGTTGAGAGTAATATGCCTCAGACTGCCTCGTAACAGCATAATTAGTGATGTAGCGACAACAGTTGTTTCAGATCCCCTCCTCTCTTGTCACCTGGGTGGAAGGGAGAACATTATAGCTGTTTCCTCCAGTTCTGTGTGTGCCTCCAAGTCTGTCCTTTGCTTCCAATGCATCCCTTTGTTAAATTCGGGAAGGTGTGGCCGAGTCATGTTCCGTCAAATTCATATTATTCCACTGAAAGTGAAAAATAAATGAAATGAAAAGAAACAGGTAAACCACTTTGAGCCAGGTTTAATTTGGGGGACAGCAGGAAGTTCCATGGTACATCCACTGAACAATATGTGTGAAGTAATTTCACCTACTTTGTATGTTTTACATTAGAAATTCAGATCTGATCTACCATCTTCTTTCCAGAAGACTCTGGGCAAACAGAGGATTAGGAAAATGGTGGCTTAATGCCACAATTGATCCTTTCATACTGTAGAATTGCATAACGTAAAGGGAACAGGAAAGATGTATTGCTTCCACATGGCTTTAATGTTAATATATTAAAGCTGACAGCACTGAAAAAAAAGTATGGAAAGCAGCTCTGTTAATGTTATTCTCATTTTACATCTCTGTGTTTAATCAAAACTTTTGTCAAGCTGGCACCATCTGTTTCATTAACTAACAAAACCTACAGGTGACCCAACACTAATACCCATCTCCTATTACTGTGTCTGCCTTACAGTCAACTATACCACCAACCTGTGTTGAACACAGAATTTCTCCTTTTGCTTCACTGATGTCAGTAGCTCCAACTACTTCCAACTACTGGAAAATGTTTTTTACCCCACATACCCTCCCCAGCATTCACCTTGAACAAGGAACCACATGATCAGACAGCTCTGCACATGCATTACAGAAGCGTTGCTCTATGTCTGAAGCGCAGTTTTTACTTTTTACCTTTTATTATTGATCTTTTTAGAAATCCTCCAAGCAGTCACGGAAATCTCCTGGAGATGAAGATGATAAGGACTGCAAAGAGGAAGAAAATAAGAGCAGCTCTGATGCTGGAGACGCAGGCAATGACACAAGAAACACTTCTTCAGATTTGCAGAAAACCAGTGAAGGGGTAATCTTCTGTTAATATAATTCACTTCACGTGCAGTTTGTTGCCACAGGGCTTTGGGCTTAGGGGTGAAAGGCATTGCATTGCAGTGACCTCCACATACCACGTAGAGACCTTTTTTCGTTCCGTTTAAGTGCTCAGAATGATGTGTCTGGAACTGGTCCCTGCAGTGGTACAAATTTTGCTGTAGAGACTGAATGAGAACAGATACAATAAGCATGATTTTTGTTCTGACACCTGCATAGATGTCAGCTGAGAGTAACTTCACTGAAAACCATGAACTGGAATGGTGCAAAATTGATGTGAGAGCAGAATCAGAGCATTTGCATAATGCATTTTGGCTCACTAAACGGTGGGAGCCTGCTTATTCTTTCACACTTGTTTTACATCTGTGTGATCCTACTGACTCATTTGGAGTTCATGAGGATTCACATAAATGTGCAGTACAGGAAAGTCAGAATCTGCATACTGCGGGTGGTGGGGCAGTTCCTGCCTTGGGATATGCTCTTCCAAGGAGGGGATATACAGTCTGCTCCAGAGCAGCTTGATGTAGCAAATAACCTCCATCTTTGTTCATGTCAGTTGTGTGTTCATGTCAGTGTAGGCCGGCAGGGGAGTTGGTTAATTGTCAGCCACCTTTCACAACGGGTGCTGTTTTCGTGCCTTTGGAGCAAAACAAGCCTCAGTGCTCCAGCACTTTCGGCTCTTACTCTGCTCACAGCTCAGAACCAGTTTTGGCGGGGTTCCCATGCCACGGCTCTGCCACGTGACCAGCAGCCGGGCTGGGCTGTCACAGGAGCTGCTGAGTGACACGAATCCCCAGGTGTGGGAGGAAACCAGCCAGCACAGGCTCTCATCTGACATTGCCAAGGGGCTTTAGCACCCAGTTGCATGCTCAGCCTAAACCCTTTCTCACAAAACATAACCTCTGGGAAGCTGCTGTTGTCTCCCACTTAAAGATTCCTCACAGCACTGCCTTTCCTCACGTCTTTCTGAGATACAGAGTACGCATTGTGTGCTTCTTTGCCTTGTAAAGGCTTTGGTGTGCAGTTTGTGGGGTCAGGAAGATAACATACCCTCACCCTCTACTCACTCTGAACAAGCACCAGGCCTGAGCCAGAGGCTGATGCAATGAGACACTGTACCCAGCTATGCCTTCCCAGCACCTCACCTGTATAATTTGGGGGTCTGGGACTGATGACTGTTGCAAGTGCATAGTATACGTGTGGGTCACATTCTGGCTAGTGAGCCCTGTGACACTTTCATGCCCTCAAATGGGCATCGGTGTGAGAAACCTGGCTGTAAGGTCCATCTGAGGTGGCAAGAGGTTCGGGAGGGCCTGGTTTGTTTCCCAGCAGTGAGAGGGGATGTTTATGAAGTTCAGGCACGTTCTCCATGCAAGGACCAAATGTTTACCAAGTTTAAACAGTCACGGGTTAAGTATGGTCCCATACTGTGCTGGCTGTATGGTGGTGACATTCATATAGCTCTTCCTGTCCCAGCTATTGGGAAGTAGAGTCCAGCATGCTGGAACTACATGCTGCTTTGCAGCATTTTCAAAATTGCTCATATTTCAGCCTCTGTGCTGGAACATGGTCAACGGTTGCTGCGTCCTTTCTGTCAGTACCAACTCCACCACAGAAATATTCTCTGTAAACATTGGCATACCCATCTGAGGAGCTTGCTCTGCTCTGCTCTGCCTTCTTCAGCCCCTGCAGTCTTCATACATGAATGACTAGTCTTTGACTAGATCTTGGATGCTTTTAATATTATAGGAAAGGGAAAGCTTTAGTAATCGGGACAGGGAGAGATGGTTTTAAGGCAACTTAAGCTCAAAGCAGAGACAAGTTTGGAGAAATTCGCATCCTGATACAAATATTTTAACGTGCCCATTTCTCCTGCAAAAGCAGCACTTCACTTTTAAATCTTCTTCAGCGTTTCTGTTTAGAATTTGTCAGTAGTAAAGTTCTCTGTTAGGAGCAGGACACCTCCATCTCTTGGTGTCCTCAAAGCCAGATTAGATGTCTTTTTAGAAGGTATGCCTTTGTCAGACACAAGGCACTTAGGAAAACAGTAATCTGATTTGTTTGTTTGTTTTGTGTTAAACAGCCAGTTTCATAGGTTGTGTCTAGATTTACTTTCTGGGGTAATCGCAGGCTGTCCTGGGGCCACATTCTGTCACCCATCCAGCCCGAGGATCTCCAGAGCACGCTGAGCCCCCTCCAGCCCATGCACTTGGATTTCTGACCGGTAGAAAGGAACCCAGGAAAAGGCCGGCGCGTGCTTGGCAGAGTTGCAATGTGGTCTTCACATTCGCATGTGTGAACTCAGAAGCATGTCCAGATCCGTTACAAAACATAGTTATAGATGAAGTTATAGTCTCTTTAAAGTCTTTTAACCTGTGAGAAGAGCATCGGACTGGTAATTAGCAGTTTGGAAAAAACGGGCTTCCTTCACCCGTGTACTGCACGGGAGCTGCGTACGCTGCGGAGGAGTTGGATTGCTTCGCCCTGGCGAGAGGACAGCCAAGCTCCAGAGGTTTCTCTGGCCATAAGATGGCGCCAAGAGCATACAAAAGTGAGCCGCTTGGGTGTATACCCACTCCCTCTGTCCCCAAAAGGTCAGCGGGGACTGCGTGAGACTGACACCAGAAAAGCGACAGTTTCAAAATAACTTGTAGGAAAGTGCCATGAAGGCTAAGAGTCAGTAGAAACAACAGTTCAGAGCCGTGATCGCAGGGGTGAACATGTTTTGTTCTACTGGTTTGCCCCAGTGACCAGCCACTTAAAAGATGTCTAATAGCGGAAGCCATGAAAGGCCGTGGAAACCAGAGGGATGGGTAGGCGGCCGGCACGCTCGGCTGACCTTCGCTGCAGCCCTGCCCAGGGACTGAGTCCTGGAGAGCCGGAGCTTCTGGGCTCTGCATTTCCCAGGTCTCTGACCGTGCAGCAGTTACCCAAAGGACACAAGTAGCTTTTCTCTTAGTAATAACGAGGTAATATTATGTATTATAATGCCTGGACTACAGGCTGAAGACACGTCTCCCATCTTCAAATGGGAAGGCACTTTGCCACTTAATCATACTTTCACCCTCAGCATTATGGGGACTTTCTTAAGGGTTAACTGCTGGAGTCAAATGATTACAGGAGCATCTTCACCTATATTTTTTAATGAAATTTCTAACCTCCAGGTGGTAGGAGTCAGAAGAAGACTCAAAACCCAGAGCAAATAAAAGTACTTCCAAAGCTATGAGGATTTTTTTCAGCCAATTTCATGGTGTTCAAGGGCTTGGCTCGTGATTTTTTTTTATCCCTGGGGTTGACAAAGCTGCTTTCTTTTCTCATCTCCATCCCTTAGTTTCTCTCCCGTTTCTGAGGACTACAGACACTCTCAGCAGAAGAGACATTTGCCACCGTTTATAATTCCCTCCTGGCACTACCTGTTTCTTAGGCTTCTTCCCTCACTGCTGCTGTTTGGCTGATTCCCTTCCCAGAAAGATGCAAAGCCTGAGCCTCAGGGTTTTATTCTCTTATATTAATTAATTAATTAATCGTATATTAGCTAAGGCAGCCTATCCCTGAGCTTGCTCAAATCAAGAGTCACAACCTCCCAGTGACAGAGTCCTTCTGCTCTTAGATGCTAAATTGTTATGGCTTCCTCAAAGTACCCATAAACAGAATATTCCTGTGGAAAGCTAGTCATATCTCAGTGTTGTTTACTTTTTATGGTACAAAATTAGCTCATAAATCAGTGAATCCGTGGCAGCAGATTTACAATCCACATTTGAACCTCCTGTGACTTGTGTGTTTGGTTCTTGGCTGCCATAACTCTGAAACATTATAACTGAACACCTACATTGTTTTTTACTTTTACTGCCCTGGATACCCATATAATGACATTTTAAAGCTGACTGTACTCTGCAGCCTATTAGGGAGTATTTGAATGTTAAGGTCAGCTGAGCCTATGTGGCTGGGTTTTCATTCAATATATACCGTATTTTAATTGCAAGGCAGACATTGTCTTGGTAAGCTAGGCTCTCTGTTTGTGTAAGCCTACCTTTCCTTTGTGTAAGGATGCACATGGTTGTTTTTCAGGAGCTGAATGATTTTACCGAGTCTTTGAAAAATAATAGATTTCTTGGAAATGAAATACGGGTTATTGCTCCTGGTACAGCTAGAATATTGAAGTGGGGTGAAGGACTGTGATCTTTTTACTCACACTGACAATCAGTTACTAACATGGGAGTCAGTGGATCTATTTGTGGAGGCAACTGCTTGCCAGCATGAATAAGGGGATCAAAATCTGGTCCAAAATTACTGCCATCTGATACTATTGCAATTGAGAGAACATATTTAAAACAGCCTGTGTCCAAGACACATTTTTTGTTGTGATGTTCTGGTGGGGTAGCAACAATTCCAGGACTGCTGAGAGAGACAAGACGTTGCTCCCATCTGTAACAGCTAAAACACTCTCTGCGCTACCGTGCCATGGCCAAACCATGCCAGAGAAATACAGGTTCCCTGTGTTCCCCTGCTGTGGCTCTGAGGCGTTTGGCTCTATCGCTTCTTCTTCTTTGCTTCTCAAGAGTAACATTGGTTAGGCTGCGTTACAGGTTTGGGATTGTGTCAGCATTAAAAGCACAGCATTTAGGGCTCTATTCAATATAAAAGCACTTTGTGGGCATTTTGCCAGAAAAGTAAAATAGAATATGTATTTCTGTCTGAAATTTTTTCAGGAATTTGAGGTAAGTTAAGGTTATTAAGGTTTCACGTAATTGAGGTAAGTTAAAATCCACCCTTCAAAAAAGGTAACATTTGTAAATGTGCTTAACTATTGCACAGTATAAATTTCTATGTTAAAAGTCAAATACTGGCATACTCTCAACCACAGCTTGCCCGCAAGTCTGAAGAGGTGTGCTGTGTGCTGTCGTCATGTAGCTCAGGAGAACAGCGCTCCTAAGTAAGGCAACGGGACGTAACTTAAGAGAAAGATAAATATCTGTATGCAAGTAGAGAAGAAAGCAGCTGGTGTAGGTGAAATATTCTCTTTGCATCTCTGTCTGTATTGAAACCTGTAACTAGTGCGACCTCAAACCCACACTGAATAAAAACAAGCGTAAAGAGCAAGTAAATATTTATCCTTCTGCCCATCCAACAGGAGTTAAAGGGCAAGATGGCAAAGTCACTTGCCAAGCACTTTTGAGGACAGAACTTCCAGTGCCAGAAAAAAACAAGGCGATTTGGGGGTTCACTGTCATCCCCTTCTCCCTGTATGCGCTGCCCTTCTGTCATAGCTCCATGTTCAGTTTTACTGCTCTGGATACCTGTTACTGAAATGTTTCCCTTACATCAGCCAGAGGCTGTGCTGCTGCTTCTGTGTGCAGCCGAGCGGGTCAGTACAGCACACGCTGCAGCACTTCTTACAGTAAAGCTGACTGACTTGTTCACACAAAATTGCTGCGAGTCGATCTGTTTCGGAGGAGACGCGAAATCTTGGCGACCGTGGAGGCTGCTCAGCCGCGCCGCGTCCTGGTTCGGCGGCCGCGGCGGGAGCCCGGCAGCGCGGGCGGCCCGGGCAGGCGAGGAGCCTCAGCAGCACCGAGGGCTGCGTGGATCTGGGGAGAAGAGAGCTGCTGAGTTCTGCGCGCTCGGGAGACAAAACCTGTGTCGGGATGGAAGATGGTACTGGAAACTTTGTGAGCGCGCTCGAGGACGGCTTGCGTACCTTGCTCTTTGCTCTCCCTGCTGGGCTTCGCTGTGGCCCAGCAGAGGTATCTGTGAGGCAGCGGGCAGTGGAATTGCTGATTTTCCCAGCAGCCACGTGAGAACGGGGCCTGCCCACTCCTCTGACCTTACCCCAGTGGTGTGTTGTGGTTAACGAGTGCAAAGCTTTCATAGTCCGAAAGGACCCCTTTCCTTACTGGATCTGAGAGTGATACTGTGGGCACTGACTGTGTCGGCACCCGACCTACCTTTAACGCCGGGGAGCAGCTGTCAGTAAGAACTTTAGTAGAAAACGTGATTTGATTGACTAATCATTTTGTAATTGTTTTAATGGATGCCTACACCTCCCTCTGAAGGGAAGAGAAATGGCAGTGAACCCCTCCAAGCCACGTCTCCAAAGCATCTGTAAGTATAATCTCATGGACTCTTGGCCAGGAGCGAGAGCAGGGGCAGCGGGTGCCCCCAGCGAGCAATGCCCTGTTACACCTGGCTGCACCGAGGCTCGGGGCGGGCTGGCCTCAGGGCAGCCTCCTGTAGGCCGTTATTACGTGCGTGAGCACTTTATAATAACCCCTTATCAAGTGTTGTCAGGCAGGAGGTACCAGGACCTCCCACACGGAAAGCAGGGGTTTCCATTAGGGCCTGCTTGCAAGGCGGTGCTTTGGAGAGCCCTTGTGAGAGGAGAGGCGAGTCGCTCCGAGCAAGCCGAGCCGTCAGTCCGGAGGAGCAGCACCTCGACAGAGGGCCCAGAGCGCTGAGCGGGCCCCCGGGTGTTGTTGCCCTCTTGGACAGAGAGGCGTCATCCCTCCTAGCTGTGGCATCGCACGCAGTTGGGTATGGTGACCCAGCGAGGGAGCGAGCTTAGGCAGGAAACCGCTAGTGCAGGGATGTTAAAATGTCTTCTTTTTCATATTCCAGATCCCGTTTAAAATGAAAATCCCGTCATCCCCAGTGGATTTACCCTGTACCCCACCCTTATTCCTTGATGTTGATTTTTTTTTTTCCTGGATGATCACACCAAATACATTAACTCCTTCATACTGGCTGTGTGTTGTGTTTCTTTCCGCCTGTCAGGGTGTGCGTGGATAAGCATTCACACGCTGAGTTCATTACAGAGGAGAAGGGAAGTCTTGCCCAGTGCTAGGTAGTCATGTAGCCACCCAAGTCTTCACGCTGTTGCACAAAAATAATGTATCCCTATGACTGTAGGTGAGTTTTGCGATCTCTGCTTAATAAGAAGAAAATGAGACTTCGAGACGCTTGCCATGGTCATGAGGACAGTCTGCTCCTCTTCCCATTAATGTCAATGGAAGCAAGAGCTTGAATCAGTCACAACGTGGGAGTTTCTTCCTTTTCTGTCATCACCTTACAGAGAGCTCCAAGCCAAACTGTGTCCTCTCCAGAAGTAACAGACAGATAGGTTAGCTGTGAAAACTGTGTATCTTTCTTCGTGCTTTTTAAGTGTTTGAACAGAGCGGTCTTCTCATCACAAGGTATTCAGGGACACAGCAGTGACCTCCTAACCTTTTGCATTAAGTGTGTCAATGATGTATTGTAATGCAAAAATTCAGAATTTGGTTGGGTTTGAAGTATACTACAAGATTAAATGATAAAACAAAAACCAATCCATGTGCACGACTGAAGCTGCTTATTTGAATAAAGCCCTAAATGTTTACTTTTAAATTCTGTTCTTCAATATTTTATAGTGATATGTTTAGTTGATATAACATAAGCAGTGTTCTCTAGAAAAAAATTTCTGCTCAAACAGACCATGTATTTATTGTACCTGGGACTTTGAAGCGTGGGAAGTTTGCTGCAGCATGCTTTTTCTTACATTAAATGTGGTTCTCTTTTTTTTTCTCTCTTTCAGACTTAACCAACATAATGACTGCTGAGTATTAAGGGAAAACACAAGAAGGTTACATGTTTGGTTGTCTAATATTCTTGGATTTGATATGAGTCACCACATCTGTTCATTAGTATCATCAACAGCATCCCAGTTTGTATGCACATTATTCACATTCCTATCTGTTGTGTTTGCAGAAATGACATTTTACCCTTTTTTCTAAGGGTTACTTTTTGATTTTCATATTATTTGGTTGCATGAAGTTGCCCTTTACCAGTGGCTGAGGTATATGAAGATATTGCATACTTGAACATGTTTTAGATTCCTTTTCTAAATAGAAAAGGTGTAACTCCAAATTAAATCATCCTAAATGAGCGTTTTTTAAAAACAAGTAAATCATAGAAGCAAGTCCCCTACATGCAATGCTACAAGAATATTTTCCACCTACAAACATAGCTTTTAAATTGCCCTATATCCATTCTTTCTTATTTTTTAAAGTTTACAACATGACAGAAAAAAATCCTCTTCAGTTGAGATCATTGCAAAGTTCAATAATGTAATAAAATACCTTTCCTTAGTAGAAGTACCTAGCTAGTTATACTCTTAATACTTCTCAAAATCATGATGTAATGTACACTCTCTGACTTAGTTCCTATATGTGGAGTTAGTGAAAGTCTTTTTGTGTTTCTTTAGATTAATACAAGGATTTTTTCCAATGCCAACACAATTTGAGATCATTCATTTGGATGCTTTCCATTTTTAAGCTTACTGTGATATAGAACCCTATGGGAAACCAAAAGAAAACATCAATTTTAAATAATGAAAGGCTTAAAAAAGGATGCTGTCATTCTAGCTTTTTTTTCCTTTTGGAAATAGAACTAGACTAGTAAGTAAGCATTCCAAATCCATTATTCTGTGTACATTATTGTTGCTATTGTGATAATAGAGATTTTTATTTATTTTTATGCCAGCTTTTATTGTGAAAACATATTTAGTCTGGTTTTATCAATCCTTGTTATGCTTGTCCTTGGAACATCTTTTGCGTATTCAAGGTTTGTAGTTGACGAGTTTACTGTAAAAAACTTTAAAAAACACAACAAAAAAACAAAAAAGAAAACAAAAAGAAAACAAAAAAATGTATTGTTTTTACAGAATAAATTTATTGGAATGTGTATTGGGAGTAAGGTTTGAGGTTGTAAGCAACTAAGTTAGCGTCATATTTGGCTTCATACGTGTAATAATGTGAGGTATTAATGTAAGTCAAGTATTAAAGCAAAACATTCTGTTAACATGAGTTGACCATAATAGATACAAGTGCAGGTGAGATCTTTATTTTTTTTTCTGTACTTTGCCTTTTCTGGATAACAGGAGGTTATTAAATTCACCTTGAATGTATTCAAAGTTTCTTTAAAAACATTAGAAGTAACATCAGAGGCTCAAATATCTGTTTGTGAGACAGCATGCCCAACAGCTCTGGGTTTGTTTTCCTGAGAAGATATTCGGGGATGGAGCCGTCCCGAATTCTAGCATAAACGGAGGGAGTCCACACCAGGGAGGTTGGGTTCTGGAGGAATTGATGCATCAGCTCCTTTTTGCCAAGCAACACTGACTGAGAGATGTTGTGGTTATTTTTGGACCTGCTCCTTTTGCTGGAGGTATAAAACCATGGATTCTCTCTTCTGAGCACTGCTGTGAACTACACCTCAGTGTTCAGCTGGAGAGTGTTTGAGCATGAATTTCTTCCTGCTTTGAAAGTTCCCTGGTGTAGGATGCAACATGCATGTGCATGAGCTGGTGCTTTCTTGTTACTGATTAGGTTTAAAAAGAAAATTAAAATTCTCCAAATCAAAACATCCAAAATTAAACACCCCAAAATAAAGTGTTTCTGGCTAAAATGTATCAGCTAATTTCATCTGTGAGCAAGGCATATTAAATATACTGTTTTTAGTATAAACACACACAAAAGTCACAGAAATAGTTCTAATTGCAAACGGAAACATAAACCACATGAACCAAGGTCTCTGCATATGCCACTACTTTCTTATGACCTAACATCATTCGCAAAAGTAGCTGCACAGAGAAACACAGCAAAAAACCCTCCTCTCTGAAAATGCATGCTATTTTGGAAGGCCTGATATTGTTCAAGGTACTGAGCACGTGCCCAGTTCAGAAATGCTAATAAGCACAAGCTTAACTTTAAGCAGATGAGTAGTCCTTGCAGAACTGAATCTTTAAAAGTATTAACAAAACTATATGATTTGCTTATCATATACGGAATCTTACCATGAGAGTTGATATTGCTTCTTAAAAGATTTCTTGGGAATTTTAACAAGGCTGACCCACAAGACATACTTTTTGACAAATAAAACAAGTGCATGTGACAGAGTTACGTATGTTAATTTTTGACACTTCAAAAACATTGATCTTAAAATTCTACAGTAGCTTTGCCTGTGAATTGCTAACACTGATATACTTCAGTGTATGGAAGCAAAACACTGACAGTTATTGTTTAACTCCATGCAATATTTATAAAAATGTCAAACCAGCTTACTTAAGAATAGCTATGTGAACTACTATCTACCGCAGTGTAAAATCAAAATGTTGAGAAGTGGTACTGAAGGCAGTCATCTTTATTTTCCCTTTTTTGAGTAGGATAAACAAAACAGACTGTGCAACTTTACACAATTGTGCAATTTTACACATCTTACACGCTTCATTTGAGTAGTTCTGTTACATCCAAAGCTAATTATGTACATAGCCAAAGAAAGGAACTGAAGGCAGTGGTGCTATTCCGTTTTTTCTTCTTGTTTTGTTTTCATAAAAAACTCTGGCTTGTTGACACACCTGTAAGCCAGCAGCTGGGGAAGAATCCCATACATTATGTTCAGTATCAGAAAAAACTGTTTTGCCTCTTCAGGGACTCTGTAGATGTAAGGAGTTCGAGCATGAAGAGAAGCACCAATATGGGAAAACTGAGCCTGTGGTGTGTATATAACGTATATATTAAAAAAGGGTAAAATTGATGTATATTTTGGAAAGACAGCATAATCTGCATGCAAGTATGCATCTCCAGTGACATTTTCCAAGCCAACCCTTTTATTCCTGAATTACCTATCATACTTTTGCACAGCAGTATTAAAAAAGCAGTCTGAACTACAGTCATTCATAGCTTGATATAACACCATGTGTAGGATTTCATCCTTGGCTAATGGATGATAATTCATGCAACAGGGTCCCTGATCCTTCCCCAGGGAAGTGTGCGTCAGTGCAGAGACCTGCACTCCTCAGTCTCAGCACAGCAGCGGGGATAGG